CCCCCCCGCGGGGTCCTGAAGGCTGGCAGCAGGGAGGAGCTGCCCTGTGAGGGTGGGGCTGGGAGGGGCTTCCCGAAGGGGGCGGGGCCACCTGGTGTGGGCGGGGCTTTGGGGGAGGCTCTGAAGTGTTGGGTGGGGGGACCCCAGTGAGACCCCATTGACCCCCACCGAGGCCCCACTGACTGAACGTTGACAGCCACTCAGACCCCACTGACTGCTGTGTGACCCCCACTGAGGCCCCACTGACTTAACATTGATGCCTGCTGAGACCCCACTGACGATCTTTTGAAACCCACTGAGATCCCGCTGACTTTCCATTGACCCCCACTGACACCCCTTGATCACCTGTTCACACTGAGACCCCACTGCCTTAACACTGACACCTGCTCAGACCCCACTGACAGCCGCTTGACCCCCACTGAGACCCCACTGACAGCCGCTAAGACTCCATTAAGCCCCTACTGAGATCCCATTGATTTTTCTTTGAGCTCTCACTGGGACCCCACTGACAATCGCTGAGACCCCATTGACACTGAGATCCTACTGGCTGTTGACCCCACTCAGACCCCACTGACAGGCTCTTGATACCCAACGCAACCTCACTGACAGCCACCAAGACCCCACTGCCTTTCCAGTGACCCCCACTGAGACCCTGTTGACGTCCAGTGAGTTCCCACTGGCTGTCCACTGACACCTGCTGAGATCCCACTGCCACCCACTGAGACCCTATTGACTTTCTACTGACACCCACTGGGATCCCACTGGCACCCCATGAGTTCCTACTGACTGTTCATTGACCCCCACTGAGCACCCATTGACCTCCTGTTGATACTGGGACCCCACTGGCTGTCCACTGAGACCCACTGAGATCCCATTGACACCCACTGAGACCCCACTGAGTGTCCATTGACACCGAGACCCCACTTTCTCAACCTCGACGCCCGCTCAGACCCCACTGACCATCCCCTGACCCGCAGTGAGGCAGCACTGACAGCTGCTGGGCTCCCAATGACTTTCCTCTGACCCCTGAGTCCCCGCTGGCCGACCAATGAGGCTCACACTGCAGTGATGCCGCCGAGACCCCAGTGACGCTCACTGCCCCCACGCGCTCAGAGGTGCCAGCAGATCACAGTCTCACCGCCCCCCATGCTGTGCCCCTCACCCCCAACCCCACGTCCCCCCACCCGCAGGTTTTTGGCAGCCCCATGGGCCCCGGGGGCGGCAGCTCCAGCACCCCGCTGCTGCCCGGCGTGGCGGGCGCCGGTTCGGGGATGAGCTCTCCACAGTTCCTGGCGCAGCCGCCCTTTGCCGAGCCGGCTCCCACCAAGGGCTACGTGCAGCAGAGCGTCTACGGCCGCGGCTCCTACCCCAGCGGGCCCGGCTTCGCCCCCAGGTAAGGCGGGCACGGCCCGGCGCGGTGACACCCGGCACGACCGCGGCTCCCCCTCCCCACTGCCTGTGCTCCGCAGCTACGCGGGCAGCCCTGGTGCCATGGGGCTCCCGGCACACGCCGCCCGCCCGCCCCCCGCCGCCGACTTCACCCAAGCGGCCGCCGCCGCCGCCGTGGCCGCTGCCGCTGCCACCGCCACAGCCACAGCCACGGCCACGGTGGCGGCACTGCAGGAGAAGCAGAGCCAAGAGCTGAGCCAGTACAGCGCGGTAAGGACGGCCGCACGCGGGGGGGGTGGTGTGGGCGCGCGGCTCTGACCGCCGTTTCCAGCACTGACCGCCGTTTCCGTGCCACAGATGGGAGCAGGGCAGCCCTTTGGCACTCAGTTCCTGCCCCACGCCTCCCCGCGCGGCCCCACCGGCCTCAGCCCCGGCGGCGTGGCGAGCGTCATGGCACCCCTGGGTGTGGGGCCCGCGCGGGCGCCGGCTGTGGGCACGCTGTATGGTGCACAGCGGCTGCCCCAGCACACCTACCCAGGGCCCCCCCCCGGGCAGCAGCTGCCGCGGCAGGGCGTCAAGCGGGCGTATGGCGGAGAGGTGAGTGCGGCCGTGGGGCTGCGGGGCTGGGACCGGTGCTGCGTCGCCAGAGCCATGCTGACGCTGTGCCCGCAGGGGTACCCGGCACAGCAGTACCTGCAGGGTGGGCAGTACCCCGGCACGCAGTACCCCCCCGGCGCCCCCCAGTCCTCAGCGCCGTCCCCGTCCTACCCCGGGCACAGGATGCAGCTGGGCGTGGGCCAGTACCTCTCCGCTGCGGGCGGCACCGGGGCCTACTATAAGGTATGGGAGGGGCTGAGGGGTGCGGGGCCGGCGCTGCGGGGGGTGCGGGGCTGATGCCGGGCCGTCACCATCCCTGCAGGCGGCTGAGCAATTCAATGGGCAGAGTGCAACCTTCGGCACCTACAGCCAGGCTGCCATCAGCGGGGTGAGTGCCGGCAGCGTGGGCGTGTGGTGGGGCTGCCAGCAGTGCTGTATGATGATGGGGGTGGTGGTGGTTGATGGTGGTGATGGTGGTGTTGATGGTGATGGTAATGATGGTGGTGATGATTCTGGTGGTGATGGTGGTGTTGATGGTGATGGTGATGGTGGTGATGATTCTGGTGGTGATGGTGATGGTGATGGTGGTGATGATTCTGGTGGTGATGATGGTGGTGGTGATGATTCTGGTGGTGATGGTATCCCCACAGCCGGGGCGCTCGGTGCCAGGGTACCCCAGCTCACCCCTGCCTGGGAACCCCACACCGCCCATGACGCCGGGGAGCAGCATGGCCCCCTACATGTCCCCAGGCCAGGACGTCAAGGCTCCCTTCCTGCCTGACGTGAAGCCCAGCATGGCTGCCCTGCACCCCTCGCCCTCAGGTAGGGGCGGTGGGAGGACCACTGCAGCGTTGCCCCTTTAAGGGCTGGGTGCTGCAGGGGG